CACTCTCTAGGACCACACAGCCACCGCATTTTGCCCGTAGTCGTACACACCGGCCTTCTGCTGTCTCTTCCGTATCCTCTCAGCCCACATGGCGTCCCCAACCAATCCTGGTCCGCGGCCTAGTCTGCCCTTGGCCAATCACCGTCGTAAGCGTCCTAAAAATAGTCACCTTCCTACTTCAACCTCATCATGCTCAGAGGCCAAAGTAACTCACCTACCGTTCGCCTGCGTATCCCTACACGATAGACGATGGCTAAGACAGAAACCCCACCACTCAGGCCCCCTCGCTTCTTCCCCGCTCGGCTCTAGACCTCTGCGCTTCCTGTTCGTCGCCACCACACTAGACATATGCCCCTCTCCTGTTGGCTCTGTCACACTGTGCGTGTGCATACGGGATGCACAGGGGCAGGGGGGAAGGGGGGGAAGGGAGGGCTGCTTATCATCTTTAGTGTACCGTACTATACATCTGCATGTACGTAGCAGTACCACGTGTCGATAGGTGTAATGCTATCAATCCACTCATATGACCACAAAGAACACACATGGGCAATCACCAACACTGTCTATCAACTCATTCGCTTCTCCCTGCATTCATATAGATTGATGCGAATCCTTATGGTCCCCGGACTAATTATCCCATTGCACTTCGCCCATGTACAGCTCAAGTACCACAACACACCACGCCCTTGCAACACGCGTCAAGCCCCTTGACCTTGTAAAACAAGTGCGATTCAACAACTAGAAAGGAAATCCCTTTCCAAATAAAAGCTACCATTCCCCTCCACATTTTGTCGGACACTACTACCTCCACACCCCCTTCCTTATCCCTTCTTCTTCTTCTTACAAACAACACTGAGGCGAGGCCAATCCTCCTCTAGTCCCTATACACACACACACACACAACACACATTTACATACCAACAGTTTGGCCCAAGCACAGCCGTTGCCAAAACGGAAAAAAAAATAAAACAGGCCATGCCGTAGCATGAGGATATATATGGCGGTTATAGACACGCTTCCACCATGCATTATACAACTCAACAAATAATCCCTCCCCTATGAAGCTGGTGGACCGGCTGCTGCTGCTGCTGTTGGTGACTGTGTATTCTCAGTCACCGTCGCACCAGAGCTTGCGTCCGCATTCATTGTCTGTGGCGTGATGGTGACTGTTGACCCCGATGAAGCATGCATCGGTCCAGATGGTGTTGACTTTGGTTCACTAGCCGGTGGAGCTGCAGCTGCAGCTTCTGACTGTACCGGCGCATCCGCTTTAGCTTCAGGCACGCTTTCTGCATTCGTCATGGATGATGCAGCAGCCCCTGGCAGCGATTGAGGCACTGTTGCAGCAACTGGTGACAGCGGACTTCTTTCCGGCGACCGCGCTATGGAAATGGGTTCCGTCAACGCCGCAGGAAGGTTTGTCCTGAGCGCCATTGAGTTGCTCACTCGCTTAGGGCTCGATGTGTTAGAAGCAGCAGCAGCCGCTGCCGGCGGCGGCGGCGGCGGCGTGGGGCTGGGACCAGTGGGCGTGACATCATTCGACTTGTCCGCTTTAGGCTGCGGCTCTTCCGTAGCGTGCGGTATATCTGATGGTCTGCCGCGACCGGCAATATTTTCACTCTGCTGCGCCAGATTCTGCGGCAGAGGCCCATAGTTTGAGCTGCCCGGCGGACTCTTGGCCCTTTCCCTCCTGTCTACACGATCTCGGTGATCCTGCCTCCGCTTGTGGAACCAATCGAAAGCCCCCTTCTTTTCACTCTTGTCGTGGTCTGGCGGGCTGCCAACTACCATGGTCCCTTCTGACCCATGCGCATGTTCATACTGACCACTTCGGCGCCCGTTGCCTGTCCATCCCGAACTGCTGGCAAACGAACTCATACTCTTGTCCGCGCCAATCACAGACCCTCGCAGGTCAGTCTGGCTTGCTGTAGGCGTTGCCCTGCTCTCCCCGCGTCGATGGTGGCCCTTCCAGAAGCTACGCTTCTCTTCCTTCGGCGCATCTTCAGCCAACTCGGTTTCCGAGTATTCTGTCGCGGTCGAATGTGACCTAAAGGAAGCAGAAGGCGACATGCTGGGCTTCAGAGTGTTACCTGAAGCCTTTGACGAGTTTGTGTCGTGAACGGCTTCCTTGGAGCTGTTAGAGTGCGACTGACCTTGTGCAAACGCAGGCTGGGGCGGATGTAATGGTGAGGGAGGGCCTCCAAAACCAGCCTCACTGCCACCAAGAGAATGTGTAGAACTGTGAGTACTTTGGCTCACTGTGTTTGGCAATCTCTTCTTCTGAAGCTTGTTGGGCTTCCGGCCATCCTTGCCGTCATCAGATTTACCAGTAGGGGAGGCACCTACTTTTGATAGAATTTGGGTAAATGTGCGCACAGCAGGCGTCATTTCAACCGCAGGCCCGGAATCGACAGGCCCTTCGAGAAATTCTGAGCGTTCGCGCGTAGGTGTATGATGAGGACTGCGTTGGGGACTGCGAAGGCCATTGCTAGGCGTAGTAGACCGTGGGGGCAAGAGAGACTGCGCAGTCTGTGCAGTAACATTGGGTGTGGTGGGTTGGCTTGGTGGGATCACGCCTGGTGAAGCAAGTGGGAAAGCACCAGGAATGTTCTGAAATCCAGGACTAGTTGGGGGCATGCTTCGTCGGTTGAGTGCAGTCGACGGTGTAAGATTATTAGGTCCAGAAGCAACTTCGAATGGCTTCGGCATCTCTATCTTGTTTGGAGGCACAGTATGCGCTCGTTTAGGCATTGCCACTTCGGGTTCAGGGGGCTGTGTTGCTACGGTTTGTTCTACCGCAGGTGCTGTACTCTGTGAGACCTCAGGTTGGTGCGGATGTTGCTGAACCTCTGGTTTCGCAGGAGCTTGGGTCACTGGGGCATTTGCGGTCTCTGGTGCTATAAGCTCGCTCTTGGTCTCCTCAACGGTAGAAGTGGTTTGTTTTGATGGAGGGAAGCGGGGGCTACCGAGCGCTGGCGTGCGCTTCGAGGGGAGTGTATTGCTTCGGTGCACTCCCGAGGTGGTTGGTGAAGCAAATGCTGGAGTAATTGGGCTAGGTACAGCCCCGGAATGACGAGAGCGCTTTGAAGATGTTGATACATTTCTCCGAACTCCACCTTGCATGCGCAGACTTTCTGCACCGGCGCTAGAAGTCGTCGAAGCTGAGCGACCAATGCCAGTGCTATTACGACCAGGAGTGGTTGGTGTTCTAGCCTGAGGGGTAGATGGCCCGCTTTCAATGCGCTGGACTGTACCCTCGTCGACAGCCGTGCCCTCCATGCCTATCAAGAAGTGATCCTGGTTATCGATGAGAAAGATCAGCACGTCTTGGCTAAGACGGTAGTCTTGCGGCGACATGTCGTGCTGGGGATGAGATAATAGTCCCGGCTGGAAGATGGCAGCGAGATTCGACGTCGTCATCTTGTTGACATCGGCTTTGGCAGCAAAAACCGCAAGTAGATCCAAGATATATAACAACAGCTGCCTATTCAGAGACGGCAGGGCCTTGATTTGATGTTGATATATGCGCACGGCGGCGTCTGGGTCAAAGCCTCCGATGGACGGGGCCTGTCCTTCGCAGGGTCCCACAGCTTCGGCCTGGTGGCCTTTGAGGGGGTCCCTAAAAGGATCATAGTGCTGCAAGGGGATTATAGGCTCTGGCAGGTTGTTGAAGTAGCGGCGCAAAATGTTTGCGGCATCGTGAACCGTGTAGCCGGACCAGTCGAGGCCCTTTCCATATCTTGGCGGCGTGTCAAAGGCCGTTTTGAGTTCCTTGATCCTCTTTTCCGAGCCGGCCAGCCGAAAGATGCCCTCCACGTCAGTTGCTGTGCGCGGGTTAACAGCTGGTGGCACATGTGCTTTGGCTTCACTGACCCTTTTCCTTCAAGAAGACACCGCACTTTGCGACGACAATGGGGACATAGCCATAGATGTAGCTCTCGCCGTGCTCGTTGAAGAGCGAGATTGCGACATTGGCATAGGGGATGCTCTGGATGAGGGGAACGCCAAAGATGCCGGGGAGGGCTTGATCTAAGTGTGCGCGCAAGACAGTCAGTGATTGCGCGCAGGAAACAAAGCGGGCGACTGCGGCGGCAGCAGCAGCAGCGGCAGCGGCAGCGTACCTTTGTCGTCGTCCTTCTTCGCGGGGCGCTTGCTAAACTGCCTCCACCACGAGGTCAAATCCCGCTTGGACGAGGCGGGCTCGGGAGTGGCCAACGGGGCGGGCTGGGGCTCCCCATTGCGCACGCGCGGAGTCTGGGGATTGGTGTGCGTGCCTGCGGGCATGGCAAGCGCGGAGGGGAGGGGTTCCGAAGAGCGATGGCTGCTCTCCAGAGCAAAAAGAAGAGGAGCAACGGGCGGGCAGTCGTCGATCGCAGGCGGTGCTGTGGAGTTGGCTCTTGTTCCAGGCACAGGTGGACCCCGAGTGGGCAGGCAAGGCGGCAGCTATCTGAGGGGCCGCTACGTGACGTCGGCTTCTGGTAGCGAGGGGATGCGCAAGAGCTGCCAACGGGCGTCCTTCTCGTATTCCGCGACCGCTCTTCGCTCAGTCAGGCGGCGCACAGCAGGACGAGGCGGGAGGGGCGCGGGCTGGTCACGATGCGCAGGCGTGCGTGCGGGCGGGTGGATGGATGGGTGAGGGAGCGGACGAGAGGTGAGAGAGCGGGAGCGAGAGCGAGAGTAGCGAGCCAGCCAGCAAGCGACGCGACTCTACTCTACTCTGACCTGGTCTGGTCTGGTCTGGTCTGGTCTGGGGGGGGCAGAGCGAGAGGGGTGGGCAGCAAATTGGTGAGGGCGGGCGGTTAGGGGTGGGCACAGATGCGCGGCTTGCGTGTGCAAAGGCGCTTTTCAAGGCATGTGTGGGCGCAGAGAAGGTGACGCTGAAACTGGGGCTCGGAGCGACAAAGAGAGCATGCATGCAGGGCTGCTGGCTTGCGTAGGTGATGCTCGCTGCCAGGCGAGGCGAGGGAGTTCGAGTGGCTGCCCGATGACAACAGCAGCGTGTGCCTGCCGGCCAATCCACGCAAAACGGTATCGCGTCGCCTGACATGCCTACATGCAGCCTTGAATCATTGCCACAGCCATGCAGCCCGAGAGGGAGAGGCACAGAGCGAGCATGCTGCGCTATAATTAACCCCCATGGCTCCATACATGCGTACTTGTGTACATACATACATACATACATACATACATACATACATACGCACACAGTATACGCACGCCCACACGTACACACAGTCGCCCGTCTTGATACTGCATCTCAGGTGCATTGTACATGCCCATGGATGCATTGCCCGTGGCTGGTCTACACCACACACACAACGAGTAGCGGCACTATCACCTACATGCTTTTCCACTTCCATAACCATATATATCATTGCCAATGGCAGTTACGCCCGTGAGACATGCTTCTCCTCTTACTAATCCAGACGTGGGCAAGCATCTTACGTAGTCCACGCCCACACCGGAATCCCACGACTCGTCTTGAAATAGTAGTAGTACAAATGGCCTTTTTCTGTGCCAGCGCATGACCGAGCGGGCCACTGTATCCAACCCCGACTATCGCTCACTTTGCAGTCGGCATTCCGCGCGTCGTCTCTCATCGCCCACTAGGCAGCCTTTGTCTCTCCGCCGCAGAGATTTCCCTTCTGTCCACCTATCTTCCGCCCATGCCGCCGCCCTGAGCCATAGCGGCATTCTGTTCTTGGAAGCGGTCGCCTAGTCGCTGCGAGCCCTTCATGTGCTTGTCGACGCATCGCATCACGCAGCTCTCTTCGCGCGAGGTCAGAGACTTGCTCTCGAAGCCGTTGACACAGTGGTCAAAGCATTGCTGCACCAGGTTCGAGTACATCTGCCATCTCATGTCAGTCGTTGAAGCACATGAATCAACGCAAAAGATGCTCGACATACGTTCATGAATTCCTTCATCTGCTTCTTCTCCATGCGCGACTGCAGCTCGCGCTGCTCAGATGCTGTGAGGCTAGAGACGCTGCATTAGCCTTTGTGCAATGTTTCGCAGCCGAAATCAATTCACGTACGAGTCCATGATGACTGTCTTTGTTTATCTTTGCCGGAGAGTTCGAGTGAGATTGTCCGGTGCAGGGTATCCGAATCAGAAATTTGGCATGACGTCGGGTTGGTTTGTGACAGACGACACAGGCGTTTCAAAGTGGGGCACGCTGCTCTAGAGGCCGCTGCTAATTGGCTAGTGCTTAGAGCCATGTTCAAGGATAGCCTCGCCCACGATGAAGGATTGCCCGTAGCTACACTGCTCAGAGTTAAATATGGCACAGTCTACCTATTCACACCACCGTACTTCCAACACCCTGTATTCAAAATAACCAGGTTCAACCTCCTTCAACATCAGCACTCGACGGCTGGCAATCCAACGTGTGATCCCTAACCCAATTCCCCTGCCCTTCACTCTTCCACCCAATTCCCCTCTTTCTCAGCAAATCCATACACTCTTCAACCTCGATTGCCAGCTGCTTGCTGCCGCAGTCTCTACTAGCAAACTTTGCCTGGTCTGCAAATTCAAACACACCTAAATAGCTCGCAATCACTTTGTAACTCTCGCGCCACTCGAGCCAAAAGTCACTTGACTGGGCTCTGCCCCTTCTCTTGCCATCGCTGAGCACATTGTTCTCTGGCCCAGGTGCTAGCTGTACACTGATCTTGTTGACCGTTGGGATGCGGTGAAGAGCGCGAACGATCGAAGTAATGTTTGCGGCAAATGGAAAGACGCCTGTAAAGCTGAACGATGTCATGTTGCAGCATGGTTGCGTTTCCCTGAACAGACGTATGAGCAAATGGAAAAGTATCCTTGGTGGTTGCTTCAAATGGTATTCATATGTGCTGTATGCGGCAATGGACGAGCCCTCGTTGTAACCCATATGATACCAAGGTCTTTGATGGATAAGAGCAGAGCCCCATGCCCGGCAATTCTCTTGCATGTGAGCAGTACGGGGCGGTTCGGCCTGAATTAGCTCGATGTAGTGCATCTTCATTTCAAAAGCCCACACATCGTTGCTCCGCATCGGTGAATCCAGCAGTCCAGCCATAGTCGATGGCGGGGCCGCTACGACCATGCGTGTAGGCTCTATGTGAGAGAATATTTGCATCCAGATGTCAGTCACCCCGCGAGCTAACGGTGCGTCTGCAGCAGACACATGAGACAGCTTGTATTCCTTGTTAGTGTGCACCACCACGCTCTTGATATGATGCTTCAGTGCATATTGCGCCACGAATCGACAAAAGTTTGTGAATGCTTTCGGAAGATGCGGAAGCCACAAAATGTTTGGCACTGACTTGAGAAACTCATCCCCTTCTTGGATGCGGCATAAATTGACGAGAACATCATCCATGGCTGGCTTGAATGCAAAGCCCGAGCTGCTCTTGAACTTGCTCCGGAGTTTGGTGTAGATGATGAATTCGTGGTTGCTCAGTTTGGTCAGTTGCTCCTGCATACTATCCACAAGCCGTGCGTCCAAAGGTACCCATTGCGGCTCATCGTCAAGTGGTATCCGCGAATAGCAAAAGAGTATGGGTAGAACAATCTTTCTCCAGCGCCATGACACCTGAGACAAGGTTTTGAGTGGAGTGGACTCGGATTGTGTCAGATGTTCAGAAGGCTCGTGGCTAAACTTTGTGATTGAAGGCGGTTCTTGATGTAGTTGTGAAGCAATCTGCGACAAAAGCTCGTTCGGCAGCGACTGCATAGCGATGAATCGACTAAATTCCTGTTCTGAATCTTATCGCATGAGACGACAGTTGGTATTTTCTTGGAGCGGAAAATTTGAAAATGGCAAAATAGTCATGTGGAATTGTATGACAAGAGGTTAGGTAGGAAGGTCGTCGGGCGTGATAGTCCCACTACCATCCCCGCAACTGTCCACGTTATTATGTCATACCGTTTCTGGTTAGCGGCTCTACTCTTTGGGACATTTTGCATCGCAATCATTCATGAAGTACTACAGATATACACAAAAATGCTTCAAATATATACTTTTCACTCCTCGCCTGGATGCAGATTAGAAGCTAGCACGTACAGCGCCTTCTAGCCACGCAACACCAGCCATGACTCCGTCCACAACCCTCATTCTCTTACCCTCGACATCTCCTAACTCCTCTATACACGCCTCCCTAACCATCTCATCCATTCCAGCCATGCCCGCACAGCCTAGACAGATGGCGCCGACCTTGTATTTCTTTAAAAGCCGCTTCACGGCATCTTTCATCCGCTTGCGCACCTCGTCGGCAGGTGCATCATGCAGATCCGTGGCGTTGAGCCCTGTCGTTTCCACGCCCGCAAAGCGCTTGCTAGCTTCTGAACCCGTGCCCAAAAAATCAATTGTAGCATCGGTCAAGATGGACTCCCAGACTTTGCCTGTGCTGACGATACCAAACTTTTCGTCAGGATGTATAATTTGAAGCGATGTGCCCACACTGGCCTCGAATATACCAGTAACGGGTTTGCGAGAGCCTCTCACAGTAGCGTGCTCCTTCAGGCGTGGTACGAGAGGATGCTTCGAGTAGCATGCGACGAGGAAGCCATCGTAACGTGCGAGGTCTTTCTCCAAAGCGGGCAGGCAATGGTCTACCGACTCGGCAGCGTCATCTTCGTTGTTGATGCTCTTTGGACCCGAGGGTGCAGTGAAGTACTCGTGTACGGTCTACTAGCTACGGTTAGTCGCTGGATCGCTGCTGTGAGTGGCGTTTGATTGACGTCTTTGAATTGTAGCGCATCTACAAGTGGCTTGAGGCCATTCGTCATTTGCTCCGTAGAGTTGGGATTGATGATGAGAACAGACCGCATCTTGCTGTATCTGGGGTTGTGGCCGTGACGATACTCGCCCATGAGTCTACTGTGAACTATTCAGGAGCTGCCTTCACGAATGCCATTTGCCCCGCCCTCGAGGTTGACCCTAAATGGCGTGGGACGGGAGAGGTGGATCTCGAGTCCGGGGTGTGACATGTGACGTCATTCTTTTAGAAAATGCTTGGCATTTGTCTCAAGTTGTTGGTAAACAAGGAGTGGTGACGATGTCACTAAGATTTCAAATATGCTTATTTTATTAGGCTACTGGGGTTATGGAACATGTATGAATCTGGTTTCTTATGTGTGTGTGTGTGTGTGACTTCGCATGCATGCGACGCTAGGGAGCTATGCACAGCTTCCACTTGTTCACCGCCGTTCAGATTCGAGCCGTAACGCCATCGCAAAACAAAGGTATCAAGATATGGACGTGTTGAGAGCTGCACGTGTAAGCTAATGGTCACCTCTGGCGAGCCTGTTCGACTTACAAGTCGTGAATCGTTGATGCAGGGCGGGTGGATGTTTAGCGGAAGCAAGAGAAACCACCGCACGAGATGCGAAAGGGTGCGCGTCGAACACCGTGTTTGTCAACAACAACACCGCCGCCTATAAATCTGTCAGTATGTGCTTGATAGCTTTGAACTATCGGGTTCATCTTACCAGCCCTCTTTCCGCCAAAGCCCTTGTGCCACATGAGACCCATGGTTGCAGTATGTGTAGATGTGTATTTGTTCGTGGATACGCGTAGGTGTGAGTGGAGTGTGTGTGAAATAGGAATTTAGTGGGGATGTATTGAGGTACGAGGGAGAGGTGGGGCAAGGGCAATTATATATTGGACGTGGCTAGCTGCGTTGACCCAAATAGGTGAAACAAGATTGTTGTACATCTGCGTCATCAGTGGCTGATGGTTAAGGCCAAGAGCTTGGAAGTAGCACTGCCACAGCTACATACCACACATTCTTGACTACTAGACTATTGCCAACCCGGGGCTTGCATAGGACAAGGCGATCGACAAGACAACCCGCCACGCCTCGATCGAGTTGCAAAGGAGAAGGCAACCCCTATTCCATGACCATGCTTTTGGTCGAGTCGAGACTCTTAGAAACGGCACGTGAAGCAAAACACAGCTTGGTCCACTGAGGACCAAGGTTCCCAAGTATCACCACACACGGAACACTTTGCACATGAATTCTCATGGCTTGCTATGGACTTATTTTCCCAATGTCAAGAATAGCCTGTCTCCAATATCGCCTAGTCCCGGCTTGATCATGCCTTTGTCATCAACACCCTTATCGCACGCGCCAACCCACACCTCAACGCCCTCCTCCCACTCACTACAGGCCTTTTGAAGCCCCTCCTCGGTAGCTAGAATACTGCATACAATGATCTTCTTGACACCCCAGTCCTTGAGCGTATCAATAGCCGCACAAGCCGTCGCACCGGTCGCAATAATGGGATCGACGATGATGGCCAGCTCGGGCTGGGGCTTGGTGGCGCCAGATGTGTGCGGGGTGTGGTAGGGCAGATTGTTGTAGTATTCGACTGGTTGCAGGGTCGTCTTCTCGCGGTAGAGACCCAGGTGGTGGATGGGGACTGGGGTAGGGAGGAGGGATGAGAGCGCAGGGACCATGGAGAGGCCAGAGCGGAGGATGGGCACGAGCGATATGGCAGAGGGGGCGGGTGAGGTAGTGCTCGTTGTGTACTCATACCCCAAGGGCGACTTGTCCTGTAACCATGTTGTTAATGCATGTGCAGATTACACCATTGCTTGTGCCACACGCACCGAGGGCACACGGTTGGTTTTTGCATGATTGTTTGAATGGAAAAAGTATGCCAATTCTCACATGTGCGTGTGTGCACATGAAAGCAAGGTGGAATGGGGACGTACTGTGCTTCCCTGCTGTGACTTCAATCCTGAGGCGAGGGCTTCGTAGCCCACCATGAGGGCGATTTCATGAACCAGCGTCTGTGCATCACGGGAACCTGTGCTTGCTGACCGTAGCTGGGAGAGTTTTGCCTGAAGACAAGGATGGGTGGACACGTGTGCGTTCTTGGGGAGGTTGGTGGTTGCCATGATGTGCGTATGTGTGTACTGTATGTCTGTGTCGGACTGTCACGTGCGATTGGGTGGACGGTGCGATGATACAGATTCGAAGCAGCCAAGCTTGCGGCGAGACAAGAATGTATGTATATATACAGAGCTTGGGAAGGGAATATTGCTTGTTCAATTCACGGCGGGCATGAGATAGGTAGGTTGAGTAGCGCTACCCCAATGCGGGCGATAACAGCTGACCCGGCGTCGGACAGCGCCGCCCACGCATGGACGAAACAAGGCTGTCCCTGCGCCAATCGGAGAATACAGAAATCGGAGTCAGTGCTCGTGCACTTGGGCATGGCGCAAAAGCCCTGACAACAAATATGGCCCTGACGGGTGTTTATACTTTCTTCTTTGCTTCAGAAGGGGGGCGGAGGTCGAGGGCTGTCTGACGATATATACGCGCTACACGACGGCAGGAGCTGACATCCATCGCGTTACGGGACAGTCTGCTGCGTGGCCTGCCCGACTTCAGCACTTCCGTATACAAACAGCTATCATATCTACTCATCTTCTAGGCCGTGAGGTGAGATGAATTGAGGGGGACCCAGTCTCTGGTTCGGGTCCACGTCATTGTACATCCCAATCTGCAGGCACCCGAGGCGCCTGATATGGCGGACCATGCTGCAAACACAGCAGCAGCCGACGACTACGACGATGTTCCTACTAAGCGCCAGTCTCACTACAACAATCAGCGATCGTCGCTGCGCTCGTCGCTCATCTTGGAAGAGCCATCCGCCGGCCCGCGACAACAACCCTGGTCCCCCAACGATGCCGCGCGACTCGACTTCGATCTCGACTCGGGCATCCCACCCTCAGCCTACGACGACATTGAGCCCTCACCGCTATCTGCCAGGTCAACCGCCTCGCCTGCGCCCAACGTACCATATACGCGTCAGCGCCAGCGCACCGACAGCACCTCGAGGTGGAAGGACAAGAACTCGAGCAAGCGCACGTCGCGAAGCACCGCTGATTCCAGGCTCGACAAGTCGCACGACCCAGACGACGCCCTAGTGCCAGGCTCCTGGCTGCACGTCTTCAACGAGGCTGCCCAATCGCCCACTCTACCTGCAGCATTCCACAGGCCAAAAACGCGAGGACAGAGCGGCAAGGCCGACGCCGAGCCCGCAAACTCGTCGCTGCCACAGGTTCAGCCATCAGCAAGACTTGCAGTCCCGCAAGAGCGTCCGATACACGGTTCACCGTCGGCTTCGCAAGTGAGCATCACCGCCCTCCCTAGCATGGTGTCTGGGAAGGAAGAAGACTATGCCGGTCTCTATGTACGTTCGAAGCCCACACCAGGAGCACGGAGAGCATCTCAGATCGCGACAGAGCTGTACACAGTCTCTTACTTGATATTCTTTTCCATCTGGGGAACATTAGCGCGGGTCGGCCTCCAAGCCCTCACTTTCTACTCCGGCACACCCCTGACCTTCTCCGAACTATGGGCCAATGTCGCCGGCACATTAATAATGGGCTTCCTAGCAGAAGACCGTCGTCTTTTTGCTGCAGAATGGGGAAATCGGGGGCAAGGCCTGCCAGAGCCCTCGGATGAACCCGCACTCCAACAGGCCGACAAAGCGTGCCACGGAAAGGTGAAGAAGACGATCCCAATGTACATTGGCCTTGCAACTGGCTTCTGTGGCTCGTTTACAAGCTTCTCAAGCTTTATTCGCGACGTCTTTTTATCGCTATCCAACGATCTCAAGGCGCCCATCAGCCATCCGTATCCTGCGAACACCCCGCTTCCTCCGACAGGCAATCTTTTACCCAGGAACGGTGGATACTCTTTCCTGGCTCTGTGCGCTACCATTATCATCACGATAGCTACGTGTTACTGTGCGCTGCATGTTGGCGCGCATATAGCCCTTGGGCTAGATCGCTTCACGCCGACACTGCCCTTCCGCGCCACGCGCCGTATCATCGACCCGATTTTTGTTGTTTTGGGCTGGGGCGTATGGCTTGGAGCGATCATCATGGCTGCTGTTCCACCAAACGACGCGTGGCGTAGTCAAGCTCTCTTTGCTTGTGTTTTCGCGCCTATTGGATGTCTCCTCCGGTACTACATTTCCATGTACCTGAATCCGATCAACTCGTCTTTTCCCGTTGGCACCTTTACCGTCAACATATTCGGTACCGCGGTCATTGGCATGGCGTACGATTTGCAACATGTATCGCTCAGCACCACGGGGCTTGTTGGTGGAGGTATCGTAGGCTGTCAGGTGCTGCAGGGTATCATGGACGGCTTCTGCGGCTGCCTGACTACTGTATCAACTTGGATTGTCGAAATTGATGCTTTGAAGCGGAAAGCTGCGTACGTGTACGCTAGTCTGAGTGTTGTGACGGCGTTCTCGTTGTTACTTATTATTATGGGGAGTGTAAGATGGACCGTGGGATGGGAGGTCATTTTGTGCAAGACTTAGCAAGCTTGTACATGTCTAATAGTCAGAAGTTGCTTCTGGCATGAATTGTGGCACCGTTGGGAAATGCATTCGACATGTAGTTTGATGCGATATGAAGGAACAGGCGAGGGTAATGTGTGTATGATTTTCTTTTATCTTGGCTGGATCCCCTCATATACCCCAGAATAATAGGCATGGATTTCTTTTTGGTCAAGTGGTGCTCCCATCAAGTTGAAAGTATAACCCCCAATGGTTCTTGCAACCTGGATTGAATTTACTCGTGCATCTTGTGCATTTGCTCCCGCTCTTTAGGTACTCATCTACGGTCAGGACATGCTTGCATTGCCCACATAGCACGGCACTCTCATTCCGTTGCGTTTGGGGCCAAATGTCCGATGTATGCGTCTCGAGTGCATCGTGGCAGCTGATGCACGCGTAAAATTTCTTGCAGCAGAAATGCTTGATAGCAATGATGTCGAGCGGGGAATGCCAATGTGCGCATTGCGTGAGTGGTGTTACCGATAGGCCATAAACGGCAGGGTCTCCATCGTTTGCTGTGGGCTCGGACATGATGTTGGCGTGGCGGTTCTAGCCAGCAACAAGCCGCACGTGGAGTTCGGAAGATGTTGGTTGTGTGAGGCTTGGCTGAAGGATAACTTCGGGACGATCAGTGGGCCGTTTCTGTCATAGCCGCACCTCTTCAAGTCTGCAAATACCAAGAAGGTCATGAAGCTGCGCTATTAATGCTACTGCACACATGACCTAAGTAGCTGTGAATGCACGGCAGACCCTTCCGGTGTGCTGTCCTGCCCTCGAGTTGACAGCCGGTGAATTACTTGCTTGCACAACCAGGGTTGCCAGATGGAAAGAAGAAATTTCACGATGGGGTCCGCATCTCCAGTCTTTCAGAAGCAAGCCGGGGTTCGGCGAATCTCTCAAGACGTCACTGGCCCCGCGCGTTACCCCCCGCTAAGCTTTAATACCTACTGTAGCTCAGCTCAACAACCCATCTCTAACACACCTGAACTCACTTTCAATTGAGCATACTTGATACCCTCACCTATCTTTTCTAGCCAGTTTATATAAAAACAACCGCCAAAATGGGTCGCCAATTCTTCGTCGGTGGAAACTTCAAGATGTACGTTACAACCCGAGCCGTGAGTACCTGCACGACAATGGCAGAGAGTTGACCGTCCTAAAGGAACGGTACGATCAAGTCGATCACCGAAATCGTCGACAACCTGAACAAAGCCAAGCTCGACGAGAACACTGGTAAGTGCAAATCGCCACGTGTGCCTTAGCAGAGGACCTGGAACCTGCATCACACCACTGCAAATACAGCAAGCTGACACATGCAACCAGAGGTTGTCATTGCACCACCATCTCTCTACCTCCTTCTGACCCGCGAACACCTCCGCAAGGGAATCGAGGTTGCAGCGCAAAATATCTTTGACAAGCCCAACGGCGCCTTCACCGGCGAGATCTCAGTCGAACAGCTGAAGGACAGCGGTATCACCTGGACCATTCTTGGTCACTCTGAGCGCCGTCAGATCCTACAGGAGAACGACGACTTCGTCGCCAGCAAGACAAAGGCAGCAGTCGACGGTGGTCTGGGTGTGATTCTGTGCTGTGGTGAGAGTCTGGAGCAGCGTGAGGCGGGTGAAACCGTCAACGTTGTTACCAAGCAGCTCAAGGCCGTTGCCGACAAGGTCAAGGACTGGAGCAAGATCGTTGTTGCCTACGAACCCATCTGGTATGTCGACATGGGAAAACGCTAGCCACTAAAACATGATGTACTAACCACTACCAGGGCTATTGGTACCGGCAAGGTTGCTACCACTGAGCAAGCCCAGGAAGTCCACGCCGCCCTCCGTGAATGGCTCAAGAAGGAGGTGTCAGCAGAGGCTTCCGAGAAGACCCGTATCCTGTACGGCGGAAGTGTCTCGGAGAAGAACTGCAAGGAGCTTGCCAAGCAGCCTGACATTGACGGTTTCCTTGTTGGCGGTGCCAGCTTGAAGCCTGCATTCGTCGACATTATCAACAGCCACCAGGCATGAATCCCCCGGAGCGACGCTCGTCTATAGCTGACGGAAGCTCGCACGGGAAGGAAACTGATGAAGTTATGAGAAATAGATCTTTGCCAAAAACCATATAGGTTGGAGCATAATAAAAGCTTTTCAAGATCAATGATAAAGCTCGATGTGACTTATGAATTTTTTTTCTTAGTTTGTTTGATTTGATACACTGTTTGTACATATAATTTGTTTCGGTGTACTTGGATTGGCATGGCTTGTATACCTTCACTCTTATCCGAGTCCTATTGGGCTTGGCCATACTGGCCGTGTAGTCGAATCGCTGTGGTCTTTGACGGCCGACAATCGTGACTTGCGCTACCAGCTGTTGTGAATTTCCAGGGCCCTTCAAGTTCCTATATCTTGATCTTGCTTCCGTGGAACGGACTCCAAATACCCCTCACGCTCTCATTCAAACTCTTCACCGGCCGTCCATCTAGTTTCCTGTTCTTCTCTCCCGTACTGTTCCTCAACATCTCAGCCTTTTCCCTTACTCCCTCATTTTGCAGGTTCTTAACGCATATTGATCGCTGGGCTCCATTGATGTAGTTTGCGATAATGACCGGGTGGTGGGCCGGCCGTGGGCTGACGGAGATTTCGATCTGAGGGTTTCGCTTGGCAAAAGCTGGAAGGGACGACTTGATGAAGGCATTCATGCCGCGCGAGGACCCCCACCAGTTGCAGTAGTGGAAGGTTAAGGATTTGCAGGGCAGGACAAAGGCCCCAACGCCATTCTGTGAAAGTGCAATTATTAGCAGCCGCCGTGGGAAGACGTGATAAAGGCATTCTCGGGGCCTGGACATACTTGAGATTTTGCGACCGTCTTTAGAGCCGCGACAGGCATGTTGGCGTGCAATTGCGGCTGGGAGACTCGTAGTGCCTTCTCTTGGCCAACCTCATAGGCCAAAGTCTGGCTGCCGGCGCACTGCTCTCACGTGCCCTGGTCGGAGCCTAGGATTGCGCTAGTGCGAACTCCGCGTCGCAACCTGTTGCCAAGAATATCAGCCCCCCAAAGAACCAGAAACACCTTCTGCCATCGTCACTTCTTCAACCCTCCACCCCATAATTCCAACTACCCCACATCGCCATCTGGAGCGCATTCCAGAAATCACGCCAAAATGACACATTTACTCCCGCCGATGCTGTTGAACCTCTTCGCCCCGCGGCCGCCTCTGCGATGGGTTGAACCTACTGACCACGCGCCAGAAAAGCGTTGCACGCCCAAGATTGGCGGTATCGCGCAATACATGGACGCTCTACGCGAATACAAGGACAATGATGGCTACGTGCCCACCGACAGCTGGCTTCAGAAGCGCGACCGCAAGAAGCTCGAAAAGAAGGAGAAACAGGAGAAGCTTATCACCGAAGGCGTCAAGAATTGTACGTCAGGACGCGCAGATGATTTTTTTATAATTACAATGCTGACTCTAATACAGACAAACCCTCCGAGGATCCGAAGGTACAGGGCGACGCTTTCAAAACACTATTCGTGTCTCGTCTATCATACGGCATCACCTCTGACGACCTGGAGCGCGAATTTGGTCGCTACGGTCCCATTGAGCGTATTCGCATTGTTGAAGACATCACGCAGCCAGAAGACGCGCCACCCAAGAAGCGCAAGCGCGGTTATGCCTTTATTGTGTTTGAGCGCGAGAAGGACATGAAGGCTGCATACAAAGAGACAGATGGCATCAAGATCAAAGACCGACGTGTTCTAGTCGACGTTGAGCGCGGTCGCACAGTTTCTGGCTGGCGTCCACGTCGCTTTGGTGGTGGCCTTGGCGGCCGGGGTTACACAAAGGGTCCAGCTGCTCGCGGACCTGGCGGCGCAGGAGGTTTTGGAGGCGCCCCTGCCGGTCCCGGTGGATTCGGAGGCCGCGGCGGTGGCTTCAACAGTGGTTTCGGTGGGCGAGGTGGAGGCCGTGGAGGCTTTGGCGGTGATCGAGGAGGTTTCCGTGGTGGAAGTGGAGGCTTCGGTGGCGGCGGCCGAGGCGGCGGCGGGGGTTACGGCGGCGGCCGAGGAGGTATCGGATACCAATCGAACGGCTATGGGCCTCCCGATGGTGCTCCCGCTGGTCCTCGTGGTCCTCGAAGCGGCGGTTTCGGTGGCGACCGAGGCAGCGGTGGCTACGGAGGCGATCGTGGTGGTGGACGGTACGACGATAGACGTGGCGGGGGCAACGACCGAGGATCCAGCGGTGCTAACAATGAACCGCTCGGCAGCAGGGATCGATACCGCGACCGTGATGGTGGATATGGTGGAGGCCGAGACGATGGCTCACGAAAGCGCGCGTACGATGGCGACAACTACGACGACCCACGAACACGACGAAGGTACTAAGCTCGACTTACGGCTAAGCCATGTTGTGCAATGGTTTGTCAAAAAGGTTACCTCCCTTTTCTTCGCCCCAGCCTTTCTCGTCAACGAGGGTAAGATCGACTCTGTTCAGCTCTTGACGTTTCGACTCTACAGCACAGCGCAGTATAGGAGGGTAAGGAGCACGCAACACCACGAACAACACTCCTAGGCACCATTGCATATCTCGAGTTACCTCTACCATACCCGGACTTTCCCAAGGCAAAATCGTTACTTCCATGTTTGCAACTTTTGAAAGGTATAACGCCGTTCCACAAGCCTAAAGTATCCCGCCGGACATTCGAGCATGTTAGTTTTGCAACGGAACAGGGAACGTATATCTTCTTGACGGGTAGGGTAAACAGGTGAAATCTTCTTTTTTTCCGTTTTCACGCCTGTCTTAATAGCTTCATGTCGTTTCCTTGTTTTTCTTCTTTCTTTACTATAACCTTTTTTGCGTTCTTTTTCTTGCTTGGGGTAGGTTAATGTAAGTGTATTTTGAAAGCAACATGTTTTCCCTCTTTTTAGTCTACAAGCATCAAGGTAAGGCCACACAGGTAAGGGAGTTTTTAAGAATTCCTGGCTTGGTGATCCTTATCGTATGGTGGTTTGCATACACAAACAACACACGCACATACAAGCCAACGAAGAATTGATTTTATTCTGCTGCTGTTGGTGCTGCTGATGTAAGTGTGGATGACCGTTATTGGTTTGATGATAAAAAGTACGTATTGTGTATTGTTTCATGGAAGACGGGTGCGTCTTCCATGCTTGTCTTTTTTTCTCCTTGATACTAAAGTTTCCCGTCGTCCTGTATCTTCCAACCTATCTTGCTGTAGAAACAAAGACACTTATTCAAACCCACCCTTCCTTCCTTGCTTGCTTTCTCTCTCTACACAATCCCCCTTGACCCACTCTGCCACAACCGTATCTCTTCCTCAGTACCCTGCCCAGGCCGTGGTTTACGAAACGTACGTGTCGCCCCTAATCCGCGCCTCAGCAAGCAAAATTCTCCTCTCATCCTCTCTCTCTCTCTCTCTCTCCGTTTTTTTTTACTTTCTCCGCCCATGCTTCGCAATCAGACTACGAGACTCACCACAGAGCCAAATATGCGGCCCAGCCTCCCCATCCTGCAGCCCATGCTCATTAATAATACTTTCAATCTGGCGGGCGCGCCCACGATTCGCACTTAGCGTCGTGAGATTCTGGGCCCATCCGAAGAGGAAAATGGATCTGTTGAGGGGACCTAGCTCTGCTGCTACTATCCGTGCGACGGTGGGGAGGGTGTCGGTGAGGGAGTCGAGGTTGGGTGATTTGACGGTAATGGGGAGGGCGAAGCCGGTGGGGACGGAGTGGTCGGATAGACGCGCCTGGGGAATATCGATGTTAGCTGGGCAAATTTACTACGTACCTCTAAAATCTTCTTTTGAAGCGAAGCAGAAAGGTATAGAGGGAATAGAGGAATCAGGGTGATAAAGGGAGATCAACGGTGAACATACCCATTCCGCAACCAACTCCTGCGAAGACCGCGCTTCCCAGTCTCTCTGTCCTAACAACAGGTCCGATCTCAGCCTCTCCGTATCCGTAGCTAGAGTCTGTACTATAAGATTCATCTGGTCGGCTGCTTCGCGTGTGCACACCATAGGATGCGCCTTGATAGCCGGGTAAAGATGCGTAGGAAGTAAATGCTCCTTTGCCTCCTCTTCGATCTGCGCGCGTACTTCGCCAGGATACCAGTCTAGTATCGGACAGGGTTTGTGCGAGATGTCTGAGATGAGAGCGAGCAGGATGGTGCAATCAATGTTTAGAGTATTGCTGAGAGCCCGGGAGCGATCGATAAGGAGGTGTGGGAGAACATCGTCAATTGCAGGTGCTGGGGGGATGTCGTCGCCGCATTGCACAATGGCGCCTGTAGCCCGGATTTTGTTAATGACGGAATCAATGGGTGCAGATGTACCGGCAACAACTCTTGTGAGGACGAAGCGGACTTTGGGTGGGCGGCCGCGGACGGGGTTTGCCTGGGCTGCTCGGGCGAGTTGACGGGCGTTGCGGACAACGTCGACTTGGTCTTCGTCGTCGTCTTCGTCGTCTTCACCGATTGAGCGTGCGTCTAGTGTATCTTCGTCTTCGTCGGAGTCAAAGTCGTTGACCCATCCTAGCTTGGCGAGGTCAAAGAGAATCCGCTTTTCAGAAACGGTCGAGACGCGGATCCACTCGCTGCCTTCTTCGGCAACAATATCAACGAGCGCAGCGGTTTTGCTCTTATTTTGGCTTCCTTTGGATAGGCTCAGGCCTTTTGTCGTGTGCTTGCCTGCTGGTGCATTGTGCCGGTGCCAGGAGAAGTACTTTCTGAAGCTCTGGAGTCCACGTGAGCGCTTTGCTGCGCTCCATAGTGCTTCGTAGTAGAGAAGATTCGACGAAACAATGTAGTGTCTAGCTTTCTCCTCGTCCATATCAGAGCCTACTAGCTTTTTGAGAAAGGCTAGCTCGTTGCGCATGTCATTGCGCAGATTACGATACCTGGTCAAGTTAGCCGTATGTAAAGACTTGGAGAGTAATATGCATGATGGATGACAAGAGTTGGTCTACGACTTCAAAGCGTGTCAGACTCGGCCAAATATAACGTACTCTACTGGATTATGGACTTTGCCGACTTTTTGTTTCTCAAGGACTGCCGCCACATATGTCTCCACTTCATCGTGGAGGCGCTTTCCGCGTTCTACTAGACCTTGGATGGTGGCTTCCAGTTCGGCTCGTGGAGTAGGCGTTTTGTTTGGAGTTTGGTCATCTTCAAGATTCAGACTATCAATTTCTTTGGTAATATTTTCCGCCATGCCGCCAGGATCCGGGAGAAGTAGTCGGAGTGCCAAAGACGGTGTTGAAAATGAGTAGCGAATTGTCGAACGGTAGACAAAGTTTTTGAGACATCTATCGTGGTAGAAATCAGGCTAAGGATAGCTAATAATAAGAAATGCTTTTTTTGTTGCCAGAGGTATTGGGAGTTGAGTCTTTTCAGCGTAAATTCAAGGTTAGCAGTAGCAAGGAAAAATGTATACTACTAGTAGATGTTAATCGTGCTAAAGCCATGGAAGTCGTAACCCAAGCGTGGTATAGAAGATTCGATGAGGCTCGATGTCGACAATCGCGGCTGCCTGAATATATGCTAGTACAAGCGAGTGTTAAGCTATTCAAATAGTCATGTCGTAGTTGCCTCGGTGCGCCCTGCTCTGCCACAGTCATAGTCGTCTGCGCCCTTCATCAGTTGGAGGCTGCGAGTCCAGACCGACGTTCGCCCGAGCGCAACCCCACCAAAAGTTGCCCGCATTCCGAAGCTGGTCTAATCGTCCTCCACCTTGCAATTGCTCCAGTCAACCTGCAACCGTCACAATGCCGTACTTTGCCACGAGTGCCGAGTGGTACGAGCAATCATCGCTACTGCTAAAAGCCCGCCCAACAACTGTACGAGAAGCTATGCGCATAACACGCGACACGCCCTTCTAATCAAGTTCCTAGACACGCATCACCTCCAAATACTCGGTCCACAAGCCCACAGCCGCCAAGATCAAGAAGCGACAAAAATACGAAGAGAAGAAGGCATCCCGGCCAGTAGACAAGGCGCGAGACTCATCACCACAACCACAATCGCAAGACGTGGAGGAAGTAACGGCCACCTTTACGCTGAAGACATACGACCCAGAGTCGGGAACATGTCTGCAATATGAGACCAACAAGGGTGCCGAGGTTGGAAGGCTAATTGGAAACCTGGGAAGGCTGGGGAGGCACATGGCAGCGCTACCGGAGACGATGGAGGATTTGAGCATGCCAGCGGGCGGCGAGGGCGCGGTGACACCACAGGTCGACGAGAGCGGCGACGTCAAAATGGGCGGCACAGCCCCCGATGCGAAGGCTGGCGCAGGGACAGGAGGAAAGAAGAAAAAGAAGGGCAAGAAATGAGAAGTTATGCATTGAGGAGCATTCAAAACCACACCGTACCAGCCTGGCGTCAAGACATGAAGGCGCCGCGAATTCGATGTATGAAAACCGCATATTGCAGGAAACCTGGAAAATGGGTAGTCACGGTACTGGCACTTGTATATCAGAGACGGCGCGAGTAGCGCATGACTACCGAATCGAAGATACCCGTCCACACACATGACTCTATCGTATCTTTTTCCAATATCCTGTTACCAGAGAGGACCATATCGTTAGCGCGTAAATTTGTCTAACCTATCCTCTTCTCACATGCTAAACACACTGTAGGCGTTATTCATAGGTTAAGTTGTGGGTATACTGAGTGCAGCTCTACAGGGCCAACAACACAAGGCTCGCCCGAATATCACATGCGAATCTCCGCAACAGTCCGGAAACCCTCCTGCCAATTGCCAGAAGGACGCGCAACACTTGAAGATTCATCGATTACAAAGCTCATCCGAAAATATCAGGGGGCTCACTTTGGTGTGTCCGTCAAGCGACCCGGAGCATGAGCCCAGAATCCATCCATGAAATGACCTCGTATGCAAACGTTACCATTTCGTATCTTCCAGCTATCGTGGCTGAAGGATCTTCAATCCGGTGAACACGGTCTCTTCAAGGCAACAGGAGAGACTGCGGGGTAGGAAGGGTGTTGGTGGGGGAGGATCTTCCCGTGTCTCAGAAACGTGTTGTGCGCCACCGGCTGTAATCTTGGATATCAATGATTCTATGATATTCACGTACTTGCTGCTTCAAATATATCATATCAGGACTGCTATGTAAGTTGTAGAATTAACTTTAGGCATTTATGGGTTTGTGCAATGAGTGAGTGAACATATGTAAACGCATCATGGTTCAAGAGCGTCGTTACGAACTGACGATGTCTTGGATCGGCAAACTAGAGTTTTGGTTTTGGTTGTCGAAAAGGCCAAGATAGAAGAACATGGTCTGGCCTCTTTTATTGCATACTCCTTGGACTGCAGCAGAGACTGCGATCATTGCATGGATTCCACTGCCTGCGTCCGGTGGGCAGGTGTTTACCACGTACATGGCTCGCATCATATACAACGTGTCTATTTTCAGTAAGCCTTAGGTAACCCCACTTTTCACGTTCCCGTTATCGAGCAAGTTGTTGTTGATTTTGCAACCGAATCACGGATATGAGGCTGAGTGTCAGAAACGTCACACGAGTGGCTTGCATATTGCATGCATTGTGCATCCGGTCAATCTCGTATGTTCGATGTCATCCGCAGGCATCCGATAATTGGGATCAGGCAATTTTTATTTCAAGGGCAAAGGGCAAAATGATGTGCATGAAGGGGCGTCGTTGTCCAGTCGGCAAACAGATACAGCGCCAGGCTGCATGAGTGGAGTTTTACATACTGCGAACTCATGGCAACGAGCCGCTCTGCAGGAGATATGCTAACAGATAATAAGTCTTCTCGAGAACCCAGCATTTGTTGCTTCTTCTCTTGTTCTTGAATACTTTGATATACATGAGGGTAGGAATGCTCATACGATGTGATATAACCTATTAACATATATTGGAGCTGAGCCACCGATAGCCATATGTGTTTCAGTAAGCGAAAAGAAAGTCTGTGTATAACGTGATACAAGAAGGACAGTCGGAGGACCTTTGGTCCCGCACTGGTCTTGGTATTTGGCTGTCGATAAGACCCATGAACGCGACAGGCGGGCAGCGCAGAGGGCAACCGGATAGAAATCGGCGCTAAACAGCTGTTCCCGTGTGAGTCGAACTATTCAAGGGTTGAGCTAAATATCTGTCATTCCGGTGGCTTGTGATGGCTAGTTGCCTTCTTTCACAGCGTAATGATGGTGTAGTGAACCATGCATGGACCAGTTCCTGGTCATTGCGCGGGATTAGTGTCTCCACTCGCCTTGTGCTTCTTCAAACGTTCACCTCGACTACATCGTTTCCAATTTTACACAAATGTCTGCAACTAGGCCACAACAAAAAACGGCATCAAAAAACTACATGATACAAGTGAGCCGTCCCAATGAAGTCGTTTACACATAGTCGACCATGTCATGATGAACTTGTCATCAGGCTGCATCCAGGGTCATCACTTGAGTCCTCCAGATGCGTGGCGCGATGCGTGTACATATGCAGGTTGGAAGGACCTTGACATTCCGGTAAATCCTCAGGCTCAAAAACATGTAACTGGCTAGCTGTACCTTGTGTCGCATAAGAAGGCAAAAGGCGATTTGCCTGTCTACCCCTCAGCCTTGTGGCTTCGACCGGTCAGCGCCCCAATGCCGACGGTTAAGCGGGGTTCGTGAGAACCATTCATGTTGACCAATTGACGCATGTTTCATCTGCAATTCTAAGAGGCGGATTGGATGTGATGGTCCCAGTCCGAAAAGAACCCCTATCTCCGCCTGCATCAGTATGGTAACACCACTGTTGTAGCAAAAGTGAGGCTCTGAAATAACTAGCAATATCAAGTTGATTTTGATTTCTATATCTTCCATCGATTTCCTCCTAATATCTATCTAGTTCATCATCTTACCTTTCCTTAGACGACAAGCCTTCTGTCAACACAAACATTGAAGCTTTGTTCAATCATTTTCTATTAATTGGCACTGCTTTCTCTTTCGGCCATCTCACCCCTTTTAATCATGGCCCATCAAATACCTCTACCACAGCAGACTCAATACCCGGGTCCCATACCTCAAAATCATCAAAACGCTGGGCAACAGCGACATGCCTCGAACGGACAACACCAGAGCTTTGGGCAAAACTCTCCAAGAGAGTCTGAGGATTTCCCCTCAGACCCCATACAAGCTCCTCTTCTCGTATCATTCATTCTAGAGAGGCCCAGGAACGATATCAGCTGGGAGGATGTTGTCCCCGAGCAACAGCACGTCAGAGCTCATGACCTCAAAAAGGAGGTGCTGAAGTTTCGACGTAACTACAACAACGTCAAAAAGGCTTTGGACGAAATCTCCTCTCCAAACTGTCGCAGAATCATCAATGAACTGGTCGAAGAACAGAACGTCGCGCTGACCAAACACAACCCGACCATGGAGTACAGGATCGTGAGTCTGATAAAGAAGTTCCGAGAACGCGCCTCTTTGACGCGCCGCGAGAGATACCTGGCACGTGTGGACATAATCTTGGAAGCAGAAGACTCTGGCCTCCAAGCTACAAAGACGGGAGTCGGAATGGCTGGCGATAAACTTCAAGATCTCAGGAGGGCCAAGCAGGGCGACGGTCCTCCACAGTTCCAAGGTCGAGTCGGCAATCAAAGCCAAAATATGTCAGCACCACCACAAATGCCTCAGCAACGACCTCAACCTCACGGCCCGCATAACGTGCCACCTCATCCACACCCTGAACTATCCCGTAGTCAGCCTCCTCCTCTTCATGTTGTTAATCCAGTCAATAATCATATGCCGATACCCGCTCCCCATGTACCGCCTCCACTTCCACCTCCACCACATCTAAATGGAGGCATGAACGGGCAAACTCCAGTAGCTGGTCCACCTGCGCCGCCACCACCGCCGCCACCGCCACCACCACCTAATGGAGGGGTCCATCCAGTCATGTCAGGACCTCGCGGGCACCAACCACCAATTCAACCACCCTTACCGCAGGGTCTATCAGGAATGCCTGGTACTTACCCCGAAGCCATGCCAGTGCCAGTGCCGAGGCACATACCAGGTCGTAAGCCAGGCCCAGTCAACCAGACAATGGACCCCGAGTTGCCTGGGAGCCAGCAAACCAAGCATAAGAGCCATATGGATGCATCCAGTTTATACTCAGATAGTGAAGTCAGTTGGGAAGATGAGTCGGAGAACTCTAGCTTCGTTGACATTGATAACGACATGCATGGGGAAATGCGCCCAAGAGAACCCGAACGTGGACGACATGCTAAGTTGTCAAGGAACAATCCGAAACATCGTATGCATAGTAGAAGCAAACGGCAAAGTCGAAGTCGCAGCCAGAGTCACTTACGCAGAGGCATCCACCAGCAAAATACACGGCAACTAATGCGGAGACATCGAACCAATAGTGATATCGATGAAGGATACACTGGTAGACGTACCCCAGACATACCAAGTTCGAGTTCTCCTCAACCCTTGCGTGCGAAGCTCTCTAGTCAAGTACCAGCGAACATCCACATCCACATGAACACGAATAATAGTGGAGATGAGAGAACACGTAGCGGCAACGCCTCGCCTACCAGCCTCTACAGTCAAAAGAGGGTTCCAGGGAAGATGTATAATTCACACGACGATATGTCCGATGCATCGTGGGATCGCGCAAGCGGCACCGGCTCCTGGCACACCTCGTCTGTCCACACGGCCGAAGACAATATCTGGGATGTACCTTCTCGCTCCCAGACTGTGAGACGTGAGCACAGCCAACGTAAGCCGACTTTTGCAGCGCGCCCAAACGACGCCTTTGATACGCAGTGTCGAAGCCCCAACCCCAACACTGCCGATCTGCGCTCCGCACAACGGCCCAGATACCCCAGAGAACCAAGCAATGAGCATATGCCCACTCGCTCATCCATGCGCTCGCCCATGCGTGAGCAAGAACGGGAGCGCGACCACGAGTACCCATCTTACTCTGATGACCAACAACTCTACCATCCCCGTCCTGATCTCCCGCACCGTCGCACCACCCCAGCGCCACCTCGTACCCAACACAACAACTCCTTTACTTCACCATACCCTCCTACACCTCCTAAACTCGCCCGCGCCTCTACTCTTATACCAGATGTATATGATCACGCGTACACGCCAGCCCAGCCGCGTAGGAGACAGATAGAAGCTGTACCACGCGATGAGCAGATTAATCTTCGTGACTTGCGCGATGCGCTCGAATGGGCGCGCGAGAGGAATAAGGAGAAGGAGACTATGCAGTCCGCAAGGTATGGTGATAATGTCTCGGGGAGGAGAAGAAGAAGAAGAAGGGATTCCGGTATGGATTATGATGATGAGTGGGATTTTGAGAGAAGGGGTGGTGTGTACTAAAGTTTCCAGCCTTTTTTTTTCATTCTTCGTTTCTTTCCTTCTTCCTTCTCCTTTTCTTCTTCTTCTTCTTCTCCATTGGTGCGAGTCTAGGAGTTGAACTTTCGGAGTATGGTATTTCGGTTTCTCTGTTTTATTTATTTTTTTCCTTTACAATACTATTACTTTTTTTTTGGAAAGACCTAAAAAAAAATCACAAGCTATTGGATAGTCGTATAGTTTTGCTTCCAACGCAATAGCAATGCAATTCTTTTTCATAAAATCTGGTTCGCGGTAGATGATAAAGTACAATGAATATTACAACTACCGTTTAAACAAGAAGGATCTGCTCCGATACCTTCCTGTTCCCTTTGTCGCTCTACTCACATCCACCTTCACACTTATACCTACACATCACCGTTACTACATACCAGCCAAACAGTTCTTACCCGTCAACACCCATTCATTTGCATAACGCACATACAGCCGGCCTTGCAACTGTAAAAGCTAGACAAAAGGAGAAAGGTGGAACAAGAAAGGGCCTCACATCACATCACATCACATGACAGCCTCCAAAGAAAGTTAAGCCCATAAATCTTCAACTCATTATCCAATTAAGCATCAAGAAACGGGGGTAGGGACCACAGCTCCACCCTCATTCCTTCTCTTTGATCTTTATCTTTAACTACTTTCCTTTATCTCTCTAGCTATACTCATTAAAGGAAGAAAAAACGTAAATGATTACGAAGATTTTTATGATAACAAACAAAAAATCAAGATATTTGCCCTGTTGGGCAAAAAATCCCAAAATTAATGTTTATGTGTGTAATGTGAAGAAAAAAAGAGGCCGTTAGATGTTGCGAATGAAGAAGAAGGGAAGAAAAAACAACCATTGGTCACAAGCGAGGGTATTTGAATCTTAAGTATCTATCATACACGCACACGTCAAGGTGTAAAAGGACCAAGTACGCGGGGGGGAAAGAAGAGGGTAAAAGGGAGGAGGAGGAGGATGGATATCGAGGTTACAATGCCCAAGATGGTGTCCAGCAAACGATACGTTAGAGGGTTCGCGGAAAATAGGACGGAGGAATAAAGCCGTGGGTGATTGATGCTGACCATTGAGATAATTGCAATCGTCAAGGTTATTTGTGAGGGTTTAGTCTGAGGCGTAGAAGCGTAGGTGGGTCGATACTTGTGTTGCGTGTGATGCTGACGAGGCAGCAGGGCGCAGGGCCTCCCACTATACACGCATACGTTTTGCCCCCCCCCACAAAGATTGCGCAATTCAGCCGTAACCTCGTACCAAGTTATTGCTTAGCGCGCAGTCTATCGTAGTGTTGATTGAACGTCATGCACTGTCCTCTCGAGCACGTCCTCCAGCCTCCACCTTGGTGGCTTGGGAATCTTCTCCTTGCCGTCTGTTGAGCTCTTCTCAGCAAGCTCCTCAGGGTAGGCACCGCCGGCAACACCTGAGCTGAACTTCAACTGCAAAAGGTCGCCGACTTGATCGCAAGCCGTAAGCATGCGGTCAAGGTCATCCTTGGTATGCGCAGCGCTAACGCAAAAGCGGGCTCGTGATGACACAAGAGGTGTGGCGGGGTAGCCGACTACTACGACGGAAATCTTGCGCTTGAGCATCTCGTGGGAGAATGCAGGCATCTTGGCGGGGTTGTAAAGCATGACGGGGATGATGGGTGAGTCGTCGTGGCCGTAGACAATGAAGCCGAGGCGCTTGAGGCCCAAGCGCAGATAACGGGAGTTGAAGCACAAGCGCTGCAGACGCTCTTCACCTTGTCCTGGTACAATTGAGCCGTCAATGATACGGAGAGCAGAGGCAATCTGGACGAGGACTGGCGGCGAGGGTGATTCGGCAAAAAGCATGGCTGCGTTGCTGATTCGGAGTTTGTCAACAATAGACTTCTCAGCGGCAATGTAACCACCGTTGGCGCCAAAAGACTTTGTGAGCGTGCCCATGAGGATATCAACTTCGGAGGGATCAATGTCGAAATAATCGCATACACCACGTCCACGAGGGCCAACACCACCAACAGAGTGAGCCTCGTCAACAAAGAGATTGAACTTGTACTTGTGCTTCAAGCTGATGATGCCGGGAAGATTGCACATGGTACCCTCCATGGAGTAGAGACCTTCAACGGCAACCAGAATCTTCTTCCACGGGCGGTGTGTGCGGGGCTGACCTTGTGAGATGGCTTCACGAAGCTTGCGCTCAAGATCGCGCATGTCATTGTGCTTAAACATGGTGACCATGGCTCCTGAGAGACGCGCTCCGAAACGGATGGAAGAGTGGTTGAGCTCGTCCGAGATCATGAGGCAGCCCTTTCCGACAATGGTGGGGAATGTAGTAGCGTTCGTAACGAAACCCATGGAAAAGACCATTGAAGCGGGCTTGCCGACAAACTTGGCAATAAGATCCTCAACCTCGACGGTAAGCTCAGAAGTACCACTGTCGGACCGAGGGCTAGCCATTGAGATTCCGTACTTCCTGATGGCAGCCTCGGCTGCATCTGCACAGGGACCTTCTGATTGAGCGAAACCCAGGTAGTTGTATGAGCTCATGTTCAATGTCTCGGTCGTGGTTCCGAGCATCTTGAAGGTGTTGTTTCCGTCGTCAGACTTGCGGTCGAGCACAGTGATGAATCGTCCTGGGACACCGGTAGTTGGTCGTGAAAAGCAGTCGTTGATGCGCATCTTCAACCGTCTGGTGTAGAAGTTGTCGAAGTCGCTGTTGAGGGGCGCATATCCGTCCTTCTCCTGCAGGTGGCTGTAGTGTTGCTTCCTGAAGCGTTTGCCGAAGAAGTCACGGACGTGTCCAAATACTATTAGGATTAAGTAGCTGATGTATGTAGTGAGAAGGAAATAATATGGTGGTTCATCTTCGATGGGGTCGCCGAACTCGCCCTCAAATTTGCTGTGGTAGCGGTGCTTCTGTGAGCCGAGGGGACCAAATTGAGCGTGGGCTCGCGCAATGCGACGCTGCTCTTCCGGCGAAGGCGGCTGGAAGAGGGTTTTGGCTTCCGTGGGCATCTTCTCGCCAGTAGCAGTGGTGAGGTTGATGGTGGGGAGGGAAATCTGCGAGGGCGAGGGCGAGTTGAGGAGAGCCTGCTGCTGGGCGATGAAAGCTTCGCGGAGGACAGCAGCTTCAGAGCGCGACTTGGGAGAGTTGCCGCCGAAGAGGGATGTGAACTTGCTGCCCTTTGCAAAGGAGGATCGGCGTGCAGGCTCACGCTTCTCGTTGTGAGGATCGAGGGGAGGAGTAGGGGTAGTCGACGCAAACGGATTAATGCTTCGCGCAGGCATGGCAGCAATGGCTCGAATAACACGCTGTTGGGCTGGTTGAAGCTACAAAAAGACTGGATGCGTTGTCCAGGTGCTCGGGTCTGGTCCCAGGCTGCGGAGTCGCAACGAGGATGTTGGCGGTGAAGGGTGGGCGAGACTAGGCGAGCTACAATTAGTAGGCGACTCCTGAGCAAAAAAATGGCGTTTGCGTGCGGGGAATGAGTGAGCAGGAGCAATCAGGTGCAACTACCAGCAAAAAAAAAGAAACAAGATGAGAAGGGTGAGGGTTGTGTTTCATGGGGGAGAGAGGGACTGATGCGGTCATACATTGGCGGGTGGGAAGGGCGGCAGTGCCGGATAGCGTCGACCAAAGTGGCTTGCTTGAGGCTTGAGGAGAGATGTGCACCTACGTTATGCGAACCGCACAGCAGGCGGAATGGTATACGTCAGACGGGCGTTACCGTGAGTGCTTGTTTTGCAACGCTCTTTGAGGGGTGGTAAGCGGCGAGCGTGGTAGTGGAGGAGCAGGAGGAGGAGCAGTGTGTTGGTTGGTGCAGGCACAGGCACAGGCAGCTTTCCCTGCAGAATGCGCGCACAAGCAAACAGGCAAGACACTCGAGGGCCCCGGATTCAGCGGCGAGGGTGTAATGAACGACAAAATGTAGGGTGTAGGAGAAGAAAGTCACCATGCACGCGGGCAGAGACAACAACAGCTGCAAGCTCACTTATCAGTGCCGTTAGCAAGGGGCACGGGAGCTTGTGGTTGGTCCGACGAAATGAGCAGAGCCCCTAGGCGGGCCCTCCAGTCAGCCTCAGGTCAGGGGAATCGGATGGTGATCGCTGCCGCCTCGCCACAGCACCTTGTCCGTAGGTCCGTCCCAGGTCCGCTCCTCGTGCGAGCCCAAAGGGGACGACCACGACGGCAAAGAAGTAATAAAAAAATATCCCTCTCTGGTAATGTACAACAGCCTGGTCCAGCCCTGCACCCAACGGCCAGGGCGCCGTCGATGTGCCGCGCCCTTGCGATGTCCACTCTTTCCCTTGCACGTCATCGTCATTCACACCATCATTGTCCCTGCGGCCTAATTCGTGTTTCTTCGCAACATGGATATGCTCGACACCACGACTGAATCATCTCCGTCGACAGAGCCCTTGATTGATTATCTGAGTGTCATGAGCCAGGCATGCTTGGCACAATAAGCCAGGATATAGGTCACACCACTTTCCATTGGGCAAAGACGGCGATCCTATAGGCTTCCCTTGCCATCTGCAGGTACATTCGCCAGGTTCGGTACCGACAATTGTTGCTCCAATATTTTGGTTCATGTCCCGCCCGCAGTTCGCACATTCGGGCTCGTCTTGCGCTACACAAAAGCCATTTTGCGCCTGGCCGTGTGGTTTGTGACTCGAGTCCAACTGATTGGCCGTCAGATGTTCGTAATCTGACAACGTTTGCTCGGGTGACGTTCAACGGGTTGACCCGTTGCGCCTTCATTTTGCGCTGTCAAATGGGAGTCTGTACTAGGTCATAGTGCGACCATCCTTTCGCGAGATTACGATGAACTCAAATCTCAATAGCCCTGGGCACCGAGACAATTGTCCATCTTAATTTCACTCCTCTATAACTCTGCATCCCTCCTCCCCCGCAATGCCTCCCTCTCCCACAAACAGTTTCCCTCCCTTTCTTTCTCTCCCATCATCTGCATACACTCACTCCCCCACTCACGCCCACACATATCGACGACACACACACATGTTGACTTGAAATGATGATATGATATTTATCACTGATTCTGCTGCAGCTAAGAAAAAGCACTACAGCGTCCGAGACCCCATCTAGAGCAACCGCCAAAGCCCGCGCAGCGGCTTTTTTCCTTCCTTCACATGAACCACCTACGACAACACTGCTTCTCAAGAAGTTAAAAAAAAGAATAGCTTGTTCCTCCACCTGGCAGGAAACGCCAACCCTCTTGGAGATAAACAACAAAAGAAAAAAGAGAAATAAAGAAGAAGGCTAGCTCGCAACACCAAAGAGAACGATGCTTAAAGAAGACGGAAAGAGAAAAGAGAACAACAAAGACGACCCTGCTTGATGTTGCTGACGTCTATTCAAACACCAGCATATTCACCAAACCGCCCCTCTGTGTACAGGTCCCTAGCCATCCAAGAAGACCTTTGCAACGCCGTATCAATAACCAATCCCTGTGTGGTGGTCGTCCAATTTGCATTACAATAAGATGACTAGTGAAGAGTGCAACGCATGCCTCTGGCAAGCAACAGCAACAACACCATATGCGGAAGATGCGACACATTAACTACAGGCGCGACAACAAGGTAAGCTCAGGCACACCAATGGGACATAGGGACTGTTTCAAGTCCAGGACTCCCACATGGCACAGGAAGCTTTGCTCATCGAAAACAACGACGACCGGGTATATGAGCAAGCAAAAATTAAATTGACAAACGCGCCTTGACTACAGGGCTGCTTCCCTTACATCTGATGATGCTCGGGTGACAGGCTTGATGGGTCAATGGTGCCGAAAGACACCAAATTTTGCATGTCCAGGTCCTCGTGGTTTTCGTCAAGCAGCGGTGACCGGAAGGGCATGTTGAGGCTTTGTTTGGCGTACATGTCCGTCATTTGCAGCGCCTCGTCTGACATGCCATTGTCGTGCGACATGGGGTACACATCGCCGTGGTTCTCACGGCCGTAGGAACCAAGTGGGGGTGATTGGTTGGCAATGATCGGGTCAGGATGGCTCATGGCTGGCATTGGCGAGTGACCCGATGCAGAGTGAGGAGGTGGTCCCATTGGGGTGTGTACATATGGAGGGATGTTGTACGATCCGTAGTTAGATGCAGGGGCACTGTCGTTTGGCGGGCCTGACGAGTAGAAGGCAGGCGTGCCATATTCTGACGGTGAGTTGGCTGTTGTGGCCGACATGGGGTATTGTCTGAAGTCCATGCCGTAACCAGCAGATGTGTCGATGCTCAGGTGAGGACCGATAGGGCCAGCACTCTGTGGTTGTGGTGCAAATATCTCAGGGCTAGGCATGTAAGGCGATGGCTCTTGCTGGATCATGAATGACGGCATAGGGTTGCGAAGCATGGAAAAGTCCATGGCAACAGGCACTGAGCGACTGCGTTGGCGCTTGTGACCACGCGGCTGGAAAGGCGGAGGCGCAAGATGCGACTCTTGAAACACACCCATGTGCGGGTGCACAAGGTGGTTTGGTTGGGAAGCAGGGCGGTGGTTGATTGGCGACACTGGTGCCGAGACGGCAAAATTATTGGCGTCATACATGTTGTGTCGATTCTGAAACGATTCCAGTGAGATGAGTTTCGCCAACTGTCCACTCAAAACCTTTGGGTGGCCGCCGAGGTGATGCACCATAATGTTTGATGCCTGCTGGTCCTCGGTAAAGTCGCCGCATTGGAAGAAGCCACCGGAACCAGATGAGTCCATGAAGAAGTTGGGAGGACGGTTGAGCTCGACAATCAAGCCTCCTGGGCGTTGTGACGCGCCTTCAGCGTTGGCGGTCATGTCGCCGTTCTCGAGTTGAATGTTCTTGATGTACGAGAATGGGTATTCAATCTTGTAGCCGGCCGAGTCGTTGTTGATGTAGTAGGTGATGCAGCACTTCTCTGGTGAGTAGAAAACAACCAGGTCCATGGCACTTTGGCCGACTCTCCTCCAGCTTCCAATGCTCAACGAACGGCAAGCAAAGTGGTGGATGACAACCTTGGAGTTGTTGGCGTCGGTGTTGAGGAGCATGCCGCCACCATATGGCATGCCGCCAGTTCGGCCAAGAAAGTTGGTTCCAATTGACTTGCCAGACTCCATGGCTTGAAGAGCGAGATATCGTCGCATGGACTCTGGAATGTCGTTGCAATCGTCACCATTCTCAATGCTCTTCTTTGCAATGTTCTTGATCTTGGCACGTCTATATTAAAGTTAGTGTTGCGCCCCTCGCAAGAAGCGTTTTACGCCTACCTGTTCTGGAACCAGATCTGTACTGAGCGCTCAGTCATGTTGATTTCTGTGGCTATCCTTTCGCGAGTAGCGGCTGTGGGAGTGGGGTTCTTGTTGAATTCGACTTCAAGAGTGACGAGTTGGTCTTGGGTAGCCCGCTGGCGCTTTTGGTTTCTTTGCTGCTGGGTGAGGGTGCTCTTGCGGGGTGGTCGGCGGGGGGCAGACCCCTGAGTCGGGGTTGAAGACTGTGCTGGGGGCGAGGGTGTGGGGGACACCATGGCGTCGTCGTGTGACTGCATGTCTGCGGAAGGGCAGGGGCAAGGCTTGAGTTGTGGGTGTGGGTGTTGGGATGAAGTGGAGGAAGATCTAGAGGGAGCAATCGAGCTGACACCTCCTGTCTATCAATGTTCGTAAAGTGTCGTGATGAAGTGATGGTCCAAACAGCGTTGGGGGGCGAAGATAGTTGAGACGAGAAGGTTGCGAGTCCAAGGAGCACAGGAGCAGGCTGCTGTGGGTAGTTGAGACTCTCGACACGGTCCAGGCGCGTGTGTGTATGTATGTACGTGTGATGAATGGAGCTGCTGGCCGGGGAGCAGATGGCAGACAATCGTCCAAAAGCGATTCTGTGTCGACAGGGAGATGAATTGGGCGCGAGAGCGAAAGAGCGGACAGGCAAAGGCCAAAGGAGGAGTGTGTAGAAAGGAACGTGGGCAAAGGCCGAAAGGAGTGGCGGCACTTCGCAGAAGTCGACGAGAAAAGGGAACGTAGTAGCAACCACACCGACAACGAGGTGACGATGGGGAATCCGGATGTAGGAGCTGGGCCTTTGGTGTAAATGAGCGACCGTGGGTGGTGGGAAAGGGGAGATTAAGGGAAGGGGCATGAGGCCGGGGGGAAGGTGCGCGCCGGCTAGCGTGGTCTGGGCAGGGCGCTACAAGGTCTAGGATGCCGCCCACAGACTGTTTTAGCCCAACGGCACCACGACTTGACGCCAGGCGCGACACCAGTGGTGACGCACCAGAATGCTTCTGTCTGTGTGGCCCTGGCACGCAGACGCAAACCATGTCCGCCCAAGCCCTGAACCCAAAGCACCAACCTGCCCGCCAGCCCGCCGCCCGCAACTGGGCGTGCAGCTATCCGCAACGGCCGACACAAGTGCGCATACATACTTGCCAGCCTCTCGATGCACGCTGCACGCTGCACCTCCGCTGCCCACTCACTAGCAGCCGAGGCCTCGCCGCCGCCGCCGCCAACCAAGCCAGGCACACAGGCACAGGCACAGGCACAGGCACAGGCACAGGCACACAGGCACAGCGATCGGAGCCACTCACAGCCACTCAGCGCAGCGACCGGGGGCCACGACACCCGACCTTCCACGGCTCAGGAGACGGCGGGCCTGCGATAGGGCAGTCCTTGCCACGACCCTCGCCGAGCCACTCGAGCCATCGCCAGAGTTGTCTCAACGGGCAGAGGGCCGCATCAAGCTGGCACGACGCTGCTCGGGGGCGCGCGTCATGTACATGTCGTCCCCAAACAGCCCACGCCTACCGTCCAAGTACTTACTTACTTACAGCCAGACAGGCTCCACCTGCCACATCGCCGCGCTAGACGACTGCGGTCACGGTCGCTGGCGCTGGCGCTGGCTGTCCTCGACTGCCCCTCGGTCGACTGCTCGGTCTGGCATCGCTCACCGCGCGGCGGCCGCGGGACGCACGACAGAGCGCACGGGGGCCTAAATTAGTTTTGGCCTCCGCCGTCGTTGCAAGCATCCAAGGCCCTCTCCCAGAGCCTGCCCAGACTGCCCTGCTGGCCTCGTGGCATGCGCCCACCACCTCGCTCTTCTCAAATCGTCGGTCACAAACTCCCCTTCTGGCTTCGTCGACACCGACTCGGGAGCCCTCGTCGCAGATCACTCGCCTGCGTCCCCAAAGGACGAGAGGATCCCGACGACGGCGGGCGGCAGTGTCGTCTGAGCGCCTGCATCCTGACACACCCGGCCCAAGCCCTATGGAACCGACGTGATTCAGATCTGACAAAGTCATATATTTTGGCTGATATCCGACGCGCCGACGTAGTAGGCTCATCCATCATCTCGTCGCCCTACAGCTGTCAATCTATGGTACCTACTGCTTCCCTGCGCCCTGGATCCATAGCCTTGCGCCCGGCGTGGCGGTGTGCGTATGGCATTGCATCAAACGAGTGAAGCAAGCGAAGACAACCACCAACCTGGAAACTGACTCTTGACCTGCAAGAGATTCCGTTCCGTCTGCGCTTGGGACACGATCGACATAAGCGCTCACGTTCCGAAGCCTCAACTCCACCCGGCTTGTGGGCATCGGCACTCTCGAGTCTTGTTCATCACTCCGCCTTGCAGCCTGCCATGTGTTACAGAATGTTGCAAACCCGTATGAGCGCATGAAAAACAAGCCAAAACAGCCCCAGGACGCTGCCACCACCACCACAAGCGAATAGACCATAGATTCGTTTCAACGCTATGCCCCCCCATGGAGCAGGACACGGCATAGTGCAGGCGTGATGACTTACTCGAGTCCTAGTCCGGGATGCGCCTGCCGCGTTCGCAAGACAATGAGTCGATATCGCATGGACATGGCGCACGCTCGCATGTCGCCGTCTGGGTACGACCGGCCCTGACGTAACAGGCTTCTAGAAGCCTATTTAGGCAAGTTTCATCTTCAACTGAGCGCTTCTAGAATAGTCATCAAAGTATACTTGTGAGCCGTCTAATTTCAGCGTGCCTTGAGGGCTGGGCTCCGCTGTCTAACGAGCTTGCCGGTTCGTCTCCAGTAAGCGAAAAAGTGAATGACTGGGAGTGTCATCCCTCATGAGGCATACTGCAGCTCCACACCAATCGATCGGAATATCTGTTCTCTTCTCTTGAGGTCCAGGCTTGCGCCAAGGGTAAAGAGCAGTTCTTTAATCTTCCCCTCCCATAGCACCCCTACACGCCAATCCTGATCAACCTTGGCCTTTAATACCCCAGAAATCTCGTCCGTGGGTGAGTCCGCTGGGCGTTTCCAGTCTGTGCGTAGCTTCCTCACAGCCCAGTCGATATCAGTCGTATTACGTAGGCGCCATAGTTCGCAACCAAGCTGCAGCTCGCTTTCGTAAGAGTAGAAATTGAAGTCGAATCGCGAGCAGAGAGCGAGGTTCGGGCCGGCCTTGACAGCGTAGGTGGAAGAAATATTTCCCATCAATGGGTTTAGCGTCAGCGTCATAGTGTACGGAAATCCCGAATGGTTGGGAAGAGTGGCGAATCGCAATCCTGTACTTATGCCGCCGCTCTTATTGAGAATACCATAGTACAGCTCTGCGCCTGCACTGAATCGGCCATAAGCAGGCTCCGTGGGCGCCCCGGTCACAGGTTCCGTCGGCGAAACTCTGGGGTCGGAGCCGAAGTTGTATAAGCCGCGAACGCCCATCAGAGCAGAGTCTGTGCTGTACATGTACTCTGTGCTATATTTGCCAAAGTCGTTTTGCAGAAGGGTAAGGATTGTACCGCCATTGTTAAGGTTGGAGTCGCTCACAGCAGCAATCCTAAGCTGGCGGGTCGGGGTAAGACGTCGCAGATAGAGTGCTTCGAGCCGGGACTGGGGGAGGAATATGCGCCCGTACAACAGGGTATCTATTCATACTTAGTCGTGGTGCGGGTTGGATAAAGTCCAAATGCTTACTTCTCCGGTCTATCCGTTGGCCAGCATGCCACACTTCCCACCACCACTGCTCGTCCGGCCGTCTCAGCTCCTTGGTGTGCTTATAACCTCGTACGACACTGTGCAGATCAATGTGCGATGTCTTGAACTCCTTGCGCAGCGGCAGCGACGAATAAAGGTAGGAGACTGATCCATCGACGACACCCACACTGCCCAAAGTGTATGATGTGGCAAAGTTTGGGGCGGCGAGAGAGGATATCTGCATGCGCAGCCCTCTGGGTATGTCGAAGTCGAGCAATGCTACAATGTGCCATCAGCATGCGGCATGGCAAAGCGACATTAGGTGTGACGTACCTCGTGCAGACGCGTTCAGTGCGCCATATGAACTGTCCACGTTCCAGTGCGATGCTTCGTAGAAAGCATGCTGCACGCTCTCCATGAAATCCAACATGTCTATGTCATCGGCAAACCATCGCGAGTGGCTATGGGTTGAGTCTGGAGGTTTGCAGATCCGAAGCGATGTCAAAGTTGCACAACGGAGGTGAGCCGCGGCCGGACCAATCGGTGGTTCGCCAAAATTCCCCGCTCATTTTTTTGGACGTCGCAACCTGGGTCCTCGAACTTTTTCTCAAGCACCACATACAACCCGCAACAACCCCGAAAAACACCGCCAAAATGCCCAAGTCCAAGCGCGCGAAGGTCGTACATCTTACCAAGACCGACAAGAAGGGCAAGGAGCTCTCCTTGAAGCTCTTTGCCAATGTCCAGGAAGCGGCGGACAACTTCGAGCACATCTTTGTGTTCGCAGTGGAGAACATGCGCAATTCGTACCTCAAGGAAGTGCGCGCTGAATTTGCAGACAGCAGGTATGGCACTTTTGACCCTTGTTGACCGCATTCCGCTGATCACTGACGTTTGCGCAGATTCTTCTTCGGCAAGACCAAAGTCATGGCCAAGGCGCTCGGCCAGACACCAGCAGAGGAGCACCTCACCAACCTTTCGCAGCTCACTGAACACCTCAACGGCAACGTAGGCCTCCTTTTCACAAACCGTGAGCCCAGTGAGATCATCGAATACTTTGCCAACTACTCCCAAACCGACTTTGCGCGTGCCGGTGTAGTCGCTACACAGACCTTTACTGTACCTGCTGGAGTCGTGTACTCAAGAGGTGGAGAGGTGCCCGAGGAAGACGACGTACCGCTACCGCACAGCATGGAAACCACCATCAGGAAATGGGGTATGCCAACAAGGCTCGACAAGGGCAAGGTCATTCTGGATGCTCCATACACGATTGCCGAAGAGGGAAAGCCTATGAACAGTCACCAGACAGCCCTGCTCAAGTTGTTCGGCGTGGCCATGGCCGACTTCAAGATTGACCTCAAGGCCTACTACTCGAAGGCGACAGAGTCGGTAACAGAGGTTGGGGCCATGGAGGAATAGGCTTAAGATTGAATACAATTGCATTGAGGCGGCGTTTAAAGGCGTTGGGTTTTCTGGGTCAAAAAGTATGCGCATCGATGACTTCCATAAAAAGGGTTCAAGCCGTCTTCCACGAGTACATCACAATTATACCCTTTTTGTTACGTCGAAACGATCCATGGATGAATTCTTTCTTCTTGTGCAGTGTCTTGATTCTATGGATACTGAAGCATTAATAACATATACTCATTTTAAAATTATTGCTGACATGCAGATCAAAATCGCGGACCGCTACATAAGCACCTAAAGCATGGCCAGACCAGCCACGAGACCTCCAACCATGATCCCAAGAGCCTCCGGAAAGTTGGTAGCGGCCGCACCTATCGAAGTCGAAGAAGGAGTCAGCCTACTTGTAGTGGCATCTTCAGTCGTAGAGCTCGAAGTACGTGACACGCTGTCAGATGTAGACGAACGAGATGAAGAGCTCAAAGTGGTTGCTGGGCTTGAAATGGTTGAGGCGCTCAAAGTGGTTGCGGAAGACGAAATAGTGGAATTATGCGGGACAGCCATCGAAAGTGTAGAGCTGAGTATAGGGCTGGGAATAGAGCTGAGCATGGAGCTGGAAACGGCGCTAGAAATGGTGCTGGATATGGAGCCGGAAATGGGAGTGGGGATTGTCGAAGAGCTGGCTGACGGAGTGATAGTTGGTGCGCTCGGAAACGCAGGTGTACCATCAGCACTCGTAGGGAACACAAGACCAGAACTACCAAAGTAAGGCGCAGTATCTTCGTCGAAAAGTGGGCCAGTATCTGAGAGAGAGGTTGTATCAGCAAACATGTTCCTGCCTCAGGCAACTACTTCTCATGCAGTGCATGAACAAACTTACATGTCGACTGCTGGGCAAGCGCGACGGCAACGAAGCCCGCTACCGCAAGGATAACCCTAACCATTGTCTTTTTTTTTCGGAAAGAGAGAGTTGAAACAGGTTCTTCAAGGACAACTAGTAACAGTTGTGTTTCCAACCAAGTGATGGGAATCCAGGGGGTATTAGATGTGATAGCCAAGGAAATACACCTCCCCTAAAGGTTCGCTTGCAACAACGATAGTAATTAAAGGGACAAAAGTCTGTTTATATGCCCAAGGACTCACGTTAACGCATATACCTGAAGCAGTTAATAAATAATGCGTTGAACAAAATATATCATATGATCAAAAAAGCAGAGAGGAGGGGGGGGAGGCGCAACAGAATAATGAAACAAAACAACCGAACCCATCCCATATGCCCTGTTTAAGTAATTGTATGCTACTACCCAATAAAAGCCTCCCCCACAATCGCAACCCTAACCCCCCTAAAGCAAAGCGAGAGAAGAAGAAAAAGAGTGTGCGTGACCTATACGATGTCTTACCACCACCTGCGCATCCGCCCTAAAGATAAAAAAAAAGCCACAGCCATCGTCAGCAGCCAAAGAAAAGAACGAGTAAAAGGCCTTTGTCGTCGCTAGCGGGGGCGTGCGTGCGCGCGCGCGCTTTGCGAATAGCGGGCAAGCCACTCAGCGTGCACACATTGCGTCTTTCGGTCAATCTCCGTTGCAAAGCCGGGCCCTTGGGGCAACAAAGTATACGGGGTTTTGCGCGTTTCGGGGGTGGCCTGGGCTGGGGCTGTCTCTCTCCCGCCTCTCTGCCTGGAATCACGAATGGTTGGTTCTCCGGGGTTTCTGGCAAGGTTGTAAAGCTGAAGATGGGCGCGCTTGGAAGGGAAGGGGTGGCAGGGTTGGGTCGAGTTAGGTAAGTATACGAGAAGGGCTTTTGGGCACGCTATTGGGTGGGTTTAGTTATTCTTGTTCTTCTTTTTTGGGGGGGGGGAGGGAGAAGGGCTTTGTGTAAGTAAGGATTTGCATAGATGGCTTTGGCTAATAGGCGCTTGGTTCTGGTAATTCAGCATAAAAGCAACACACACACGCGCAGATTTTTGTTGATAACCTTTGTGTTCCTGGATTTACGGTTGGGGAAGAAAAACCAAAGCCGGATGGGGGGGAGCCCACTTTACCGATTGGGGCCTTTGCTTTCTTTCTTTCCCTTTCTCCACATTTTTTGTGAGTCTTGCGTCTTTTACCCCTGACAGGGCTTGGCTGGGGGCGCGCGCGCTGGGAACGAAGACTTGGCACGTGCGTGCTGGGCCGTTTTTGGCGTTGCCTTGACGTGCTCTGGCCTCATTTTTTTTCTTGTCGCCTTGAACAGAGACATGGCACTACTTTGTTGGGTAGGTAAACCTGTTTGGTTGGAATCCCACGAGCGGCGCAGGTGTATCAGGCACTGTTTCACACAAGTGATAGCGGAGGCGGAGGCGGCGTTGGAAACGGTTGTATAATGTGATCGGATTCCGCCCCCAAGTTTGTTCGTTCGCCCGGTACCTGCATGAGTAGTCCGGTTGTCGTATCCAGCCTTACCATGACTCTTGGTCATTGTGCACACGCTACCCGTATAACGACCGCTAGCGTCCACATTCACTAGACAGCGGCGATAAGCTTCTGTCTTTGTGAAATAAGATTTCGGGCAAATAGAGTTCTGGCTTGACTCTGCATTGTCCCGCTGCTGACACGCGTAGTAGCATGGCTCGGTTGGAACTTGGCGGCAGTTGAGAGTCATCAACATCGACGCATGGGAGTCTTCTTTGCACATCGTCATTGCACTGCGTTCTAGAATGCTTAGCTTAGTGATTAGGGAAGGCTGATGTCTCAACTTCCTAAAGTTGGCGAACACCAAAGCAAAAATGGTTATAGATAAATATATGTAGTAGCCCCAGTCTCATACATAAATCTCACTGCGAGCACAATGGACCGACCTCCTGAAATACAAATATATCGCGGAGAGCACGAATATTAAAGAACAGGAGAGACATCGTTCCCATACTTTCTAGCCAACATGTTTAGAAGAATACCTACGCTACTACGGCTTCCAAAGATACAAAAGAACCATGCATCTGCTGAACACATAAGAAGTTGAAAGTTACCGAAATGTGATTTTCTAATAGACCAAGCCGCAAAACAATATACATCGAGTCAGATAGAACCGGTCTTGTTGAATGAGATACCGCGTCGACAACGGGCGAGTACATTTCATATAAGAATATTGGACATAGTTTGTCCGATCTGAGCGCTGAGCTCATAGAACTCGACACCAATCTCAAAGAAGTACATATATCGTGTTTGAGGAGCACAATCACCCCCCTTCGCTTGTGTATCCGTCAAGTGGTAGGTCCACGAGGGAATCACAAAGTGTAAAAGAACAAAACGTGACATGACAACACAGCTGCTATTTTTTTCTAAGAAACAACAACATGGTAAACTGTAAGCAAAACAGATATGAACTATCAGCGTAAATCTATATCGTAACGTATATTATCATGAGGCACGTGCAGCTTCTGTATACATCATGTATAGCTTAAAATTCCCCGAGTCCAACAAAAGCACTGCGACTCAGCCAGACTTCGGCGCCTCTCCAATCACTGTCGCCGACGTACCATCACCAGATGCGACCGTTTCGTCATCGGTAACCACAGCAGTGTTCCTGTCAAGCTATTCATAACGTTAGTTTCGAAAAAAAACCCACTCTCCCAAACTTCAAGTCCATGACAAGACTTACCCATCTAACAACAAAAGCAGTTCCTATAAAAACACCGCACACCACAATCATCGTGATACTACCCTTCTTCCAATACGGAACATCCGTGGCAGGATACAGCACAATACCCCACCAAGTGTACAGAAGTTGCCCTCCCATACTCATAACGTACAGCACCACGCTCCTCGCAGCATCGTCACCGCTCCTTGAGCAAATCTCGTTTGCCCAACTGAACATGATGGGGTTGACAACGAAACTCGTACCGCTGATGTAAAACGCAGTGAAGACGCCTGCGTCGGAGAGGTTACGCACGAGGAGCAAGGCGGCGGTGACGAGTTGCAGGAGGGCGCCGATTATAACCATGGGAAGGCGTTGGCCGGTGCGGTCGATGATGAAGCCAGCGCTGATTTGGGAGACAATGGCAACGGCTTGGGTGCCGAGGGGGTAGGTGTTGATAGCTGTTTGGGAGAAACGCTTGGCGTTGTATTTGAGCCAGAGGAGGAACATGCCCTGGGTTGGTTGTGTTAGATACATAGTTTGTGGGGTGGAGGGTTGGGGGATTGAGTGTACCTGGAAGGCGAAGGCTTCGAGCATACCGCAAGTTACGGCGAACCATGTCAAGATGTATCTACGAGGAGGTCAGTAAAATCTTCGTATGCTTGTTGAGTTAAAATGCTTGTTTACATGTGAGGCTTTCCGAGAACGCGCTTAAGAAGGCTCTTCGGGCTAATGCTGTGCGTGTTGGCTTTCTTGGGTGGTAGACGAGATGCCGCAAACTGCTTTTCCTCCTCACTAAGATAGTATACGTTGGCCGTTGCCGGGAGATCGGGAAATGTAAACTGTTGTGACTTGTCAGCATCTGAGAACCAGCACACTCAGACAGTTGGGGGCTTACGAAGCCAAATAGTCCAAAGGGAATTCCCATGAGGCCATCTATATTATATGGATGAGTAAACTCGTGCATTAAAGGGACATTGACATGCCTACCGATTATAAAAACCCATTGCCAGCCTTTTAAGCCTGCAGTACCGCTCATGGTCTTGTGCATGGCCGTCATCATGAGGCCTGCAAACATACTTCCCGCTTGTCCAATCGCAGTAAAGATGGCCACGCGTTTCGCAATCTCGGATGGTTTGCTAAGAAACATGGTAAGTCTTACGTATCCAAGGGTATACTCTAGGAAGTCTGCAAGTCTCCATAGAGAATTTCTGTACTTACTACCATGACCCCATGACATACATGGTGCCGCTGTATAAACTAGCTTCCATCAATCCCTGGAAAAAACGGACTGCACACAGTTGCGAGTAGTTTTTGCATGCTGCAGAGCACATGGTAAGACCGGACCAGAGAATCAGGGTGAGCGGAAGCCATATGCTGGGACGGATTTTCTGGATGATGAGACTGTGTGGAATCGCGCCAACGACTAGACTATAAGTTTGATTTAACTAAGACAACAGAAGACATCTTTCGTCAGTGATACGTACCCACTGGTATACATGGACAGCAAAATATTGTACTCGTTTTTCTTAAGGCTAAGATCTTCGCGTAGACCAGCGACGTATGCATTTGCAAATGCCTGACGATCTGCCCCGTGTCAGATCAGTGTTGCTACGTATAGTCGACACAACACCAAGACTCACCAAGATAGTTAAAGAAGTAGCATGCACAGCAATAGACCTAAGGGCGGAAATTAGCCATGAAAGAGCAATATATGTAAGTCAACTGACCATGATGAATATATCTGGTCGTACGCACATTAGTACGACTATGCAACCATAGGAGCCGTGGTAAACACACCAAGCTTTATGATAAGCTTCCTTTCCATGACTTTGCTAGCATCACCATTGCTTGACTTCGAAGCTATGCAAACTAGTCAGCACAAGAGCCCTATTTGAAACCTCCACACCCAATGTACCTACACCCTAGAACACCCATGTTTGGCTATGTCTTACCAGATGATCGCAGAGGATCTGATAAGGTGGATGATTATCAGATGTACAGGTACAGTACCAACAACCTTTATTGCATCTGATAAGCGATGCAAGCGGCCGGGCCTTACCTCGGACTAGGAAGGCGTGCGCAAAATTTTCCGCGTGGCTTGATCATAGCGCGCCCGAATATTGACCGTGTTGTAAGGACTAGACCGCATCCTGGGTTATGGCTTTATTATCTAACGATTTTTACGTTTTGGACCGGCCCGGTGCCTCGACGATGATTGGCATGGGAGTATGAACATGTATTTTGTGTATTGTGCCTGTTGGACAGCGTGACTGTTACAGTGGATTCTAAAAGAAGCAGGAAGGCCTAACCGCTAAAAAGCAGCTAGCGC